TGCAAGATGCTATCCTATCAATATGGGCCAACATTTCTAAAGAATGCTTTCAGCACCTTGTTGAATCAATGCCACGTAGAATTCAGGCAGTTCTGAAGGCGATAGGTGGTCAAACACCGTATTAGTATGGTGTTCCTAATAATCCTTTAGGTGAGTGTGTGTGTATATATATATATAGATATATAGATATATATGGATATATAGATAATTGCATTAATGGGAAATTTAACAGGTGTTCCTAATAATCCTTTAGGTGAGTGTGTGTGTGTGTGTCTGTGTATATATATATATATATATATATATATATACTGTACAGTGGATGACAAACTCTGTTTAAATGCATCTTCTCCTCTCCCCTAGACTGGTATGTCAGGATTCCAATCAAATGGAAAAGGAGTGAACTGCACTTGGGAAAAAATGGATTACCATGCTGTGGCCTAAGGATTTTAAAGGTTTCATGATTGGTGTAAGTCACTGCAATTCATTAGCTCATGCATGGAGTTATCAATTTCACTCCTTTTCAGGTAGTACTGAGTATCAGTTCATATGACTCATCCTGGTTTCCAGCTATGTTAAAGTGGAGTAGGGGAGAGTTGGGACAGTTCCAACCCTTCTTTCATTTTGTTCAGTTTCTCAGAGACCGTTTGAATTGGAAAGACAAAATTTGAATACGTTAAACCCACATCTGTCAGCTACCCATCCACACTGCTGCAACGTGTATATATGATAATATACATACAACTTACACTTGAATAGATAGATAGATGTTGCAATTTAGGGGTGTAAAGATTACATAATCTATACGTATTTTATGTGCATTCGCGCCGATATGACAAGAAATTACCATGCATTTTAACCTTTATAAATGAAGTACGAATTAGCATATAAAGGTTAAATTGCACAGTAATTTCTTGTCATATCGGTGCAAATGCACATAAAACACGTATACGCATTCACGCTGTTGCAACAATCGATTGCCGCTCGTATCGCTTGTAAAGGTGAATGCGTAGTTGCGTACCAGTTATGTCCATCCCTATATATATATAATTATATAAACAAATTTGTCTCTTTCAGGTGATTGCCATCCTTCTGCTTCTTATCTGTAATCTCTGCTATTCGTGTAACCAGGCTGAGTATGACATAGGTGGTGAGTGCTGTCCTGTGTGTCCTCAAGGTGAGTCTTTGGAAGACTGGCTCATACTGTCAGTGGGGGTTTCCCTGTCCTAACCTTGCCATTAATTCCATTTTCTTCAAAATTTGCCAGTTGAACACAATTCAATTTCTTTTTCAGGGGATAGAGTTTATAAACACTGTACAGGGCAGTCCAGCACTTCCTGTGTTCCATGTGTTGGTTTGACTTACACAGATGAGCCAAACGGTTTGACCAAATGCAAACCATGTACTGTCTGTGACCAGGGTGAGAATACCACAGTTTCCTTGGTTTTTCATGAATTCATAACTTGCATATTGTAGATATTAATTTTGAACAGAATAAGTCGGTACATGGATCTTCATATCATGATGTGGTTCATTATCTCCTGCAAACAGGCCTTGGATTGAAAACAGTGAGGACATGTACATCATCTTCAGATACAGTGTGTGGGGTCCTGGAAGGACACTATTGTATTAATCCTTATAAGGGAGGGTGCAGGGCAGCCAATAAACACACAGCCTGCAAACCTGGACAGTTCATCAAACAGCCTGGTTTGTATGGATTTGTGTGGATGTTCTCAATACCAATGTAATAATAAATAAAACAAAACATTTGTTTGTCTTCCTAAGATTTGTGTCTTAAGGAGAATTTGTACTCTTTCCAGGAGCAGAATATATCGATACCGACTGTGAGGACTGCAGTGATAATTCATACTCTAATGGCTCTTTTACATCCTGCAAATCTCACACAGAGTAAGTTTTTTATATTTCTTATTTATACGCTGGAATCATGTATAAAATGTTATTTTCCTTTGAGTTGTACTATGTTTTATCAAAATGGTTTCTCATATTATATATATGTTTACAGCTGTGAATCCAAAGGACTTCTAGCAGT